CTGATATGCACTTGAGAGTTGAAGGCTTGAAGACCAGACTGAGACCTATACTAAGCCCACGGAGCTCCCCAAAAGTCGACTCGGCTACAAACAAAGTGAGTGCTGAAAAGGACTGGTAGAATGGAGTTTCTTACTATCAGAATGGAATTACAGAATTTATAGCACTAGGTAAGTAAGGTGTGTTGGCTTAGAGTATCTTTCTTGCACCTCACTATAAAGAAAGCTTGCCCCAACTCTATCTGACTGGCCTCTCTCTCCTTGCAAAGAAATATGTAGGTATTCTTACCGCGACTCCGATTTAGTGCAGAGGTGAGACTACTCCCAACAAGTCTTGTTCTTGTGCGAGTCAAGTCTAGTTCTGGGAAATCCTATAGAAATAAGCCCCTGCCCCTTAACTAAACCAATGGTTCTCCTCGTATTGAGCTCCCGCCGCTAGTAATAAGCGAACTTCATTAATTGCCTTAACCGCTACATGGGCATGAGATCCTTACAGATAAAGATCTTCTGTTGGGCCTGTACCCGCTCGATAGCCATTATTTCTTAGGGCCTTAGAGTGATAGATGCGCTACTTATGTATTAGGGCCTTCTAGTTTGAATTGAATTCTTTCCTCAATTAGTCACACAAGTTCAGGGTCTGTTTCCGTTTCAGAATGATTTGTATCCTTAACAGAGGTAGGCAATGGAAGTCGCCAAAACTAGATGTAGTACGGGATGCTCTATATTATAGTATAGGATATAGAAATTGACAACCCGAACCGACCTATACATGAAGGGAACTTGACTTTCCAGCTCCTGCTTCTATAGTTGACATACTTGTTAGGGTGTGGGGTGCCTCTATTCTCAAGTCGGGGCAGAGAAATAAGAATGAAAGATATCTGGAGAAAATGCATTATCACAGCCAATAGGTCATTTGCGACTTGTTGATGATCCGGAAACCGCTTCTGATCTTGTAACTACTGATTATCCTGATCACTCTACTTACTACTCTAAAGAAGGGAATCTCCTCTCCACTAGTTCATAGGGAATTCCTCAGCTAACCAAGCGACTAGTACTGAGGCCAAGCGTATACTTTAGAATGGAATTTGAAGCCCTTATATTAAGTCGGCGAGGCAAGAAGAGAAGAGATACTGACTTGACTCTAAATCAGGTGTTAAAGCCAACAACTAGAAATCTGGGTGTACCCGTGTAGAGGTGAAACTTAGAGAAAGATGGTGTGAAAACTGGATAAGGATCTGAAGCTGAAGGTCGCGTCATCAATGGGGGTAATAACCTTAGGAGAAGTTGCTCTGTCACATTCCTCACCGCACTCGTACCCAACGTATGAAGTACACCACCCAACCCCCATGCCTATGAAGTAGCAGAAACCCTTCTTTTGAGTGTTTTAAGGCACCAAGCATATACTCATGAATGTTGCGCGGCAGAGAGCTCTATGGCTGTGGGGATCCCTCCTTTATTAGTATGAAAGTATAAGACCGGATTTCTAGTTTCATCCCGAGTGTCATCTAAGTTGGAAGCAGTGCCCGAGTAAGCAGATGGAGTTGGAAGCTGTGCCAAAGTAAGCAGTTAGAGCAGAGCCCCCAAACAGGACTTGCTAGAGTAGTAGCGAGTTGCTTGGCTCTTCAAACAGAGTAGAGTGGATTTTGGTGCTTCTTCAAGTCCAGAAGTGTTCTGAAGCCAACACCGAGTGAGTTGGGGCAATCTGATAGTCAAGGATTTTATGCAGTAGAGAGTTCGTCAGCGGGAAGTGGATCTGCTTTATTGAGTTCAGTAGTTCTGGTTCTGAAAGAAAATAGAGTTCGGGTGCTTGGCAGTACCTTAGTTGTATAAGAGAATGCCCTTCTTCAGCGCTAACACTTACTTTAGCGAGTCCGTTAGCAGAAGCCTAAGCTTGTGGAGGTTAACTCCTATTTCTATTTGTTGGAAGTTAAGGTCCGAGTACCGTTGCTAACTTATATTACAGTAGGCGACGAGAGATAGGTTCGGGGAAGTCAAGTTCAGAGTTTAGATTAGAGCCAGCATAAACAGGATCGGAATGAAGTCTCTTCAGCTGGCGTCGAGTTCTGGTGAAAGAATCCGCTGTATAAAGATGCTGTTAGGTATAAACGTTAAGGAGCAAGTAAAGTCTTGGAGAGTTCGGGGAACAGAACCCGAAGAAATAGAATTAGTAGTTTCAGGTCAAGGCCAAACATATGAAGCAGTAAGAGAAGCAGTTTATGAAGTGTTACCAACGAAAGGGCGTTAACTTGGCGAGTGGAATCCCCCTTGTAGAATGCTTATCTTGGTCCTTGTAGAATCCTTATCTTGTTGGATCAAAATACGGATCTAAAGCAGCAAGCGGTGGCGTTGAACAAAACAAGTGTTTCTTTCGGGCTACAAATGCCATAAAACATCCTGGGCAAGATAGGTTATTTGCCATAAGAGGAGTTGCACATAGGTCTGGAGACGAGTTAATTCACTCTCCTAAGCTTCTCCATTAGTAGTTTCGCTTGTTGGGTTTACTGCCCTGCCCGTCTTGCCTTGCACTCTAACTCGAATAATGCGCACAAACTAACAAAAAGTGCAAATAGAATTTGGATTGGGTAGCAGAACACCAACAGCAGTATCAAAAACGGGGATCAGGAGAAGGATCAGTTCATAAGTAAGGTTAAGGAAGGCGACTAAGAAAGCACTTGTTCTTTTGTCAATAGAGAAAACCTGTCCGAGGTAAGAAATAGAGAGAAAAGCACCTGTACGGGATAGTAAATGTCCTGTATTTGCAAGTGCTAGCAAGCGAGTATAAGAAGCAAATTATGTTTAGTCCAACTCAGGTAAATTCGAACTTTCATATACACTTTCATATAAGAGAACTCGGCACTAGGTGTGGGTTAGTTACCGAGAAGTTGGGACAGAAAGGCATAAATAAGGCAAAGCAACTACTTATGAGCAAGTCCGAGAGTTTGACCCGACCAAGTAGTAGTAACAGAGTAGATAGGATGAAACAAGCTGGATCAAAGAAAGGTGTTGTCGACTTGAATCCTATTAAGTAAGAAGATAAGCTGTAATTGTACCAATCATCAGTAGGATCTGGATCAGAAACAGAAGAAAGTGAGTCAGCAGGAACAGTGTGGTATCAAAGTGAAGGTGCAAGCGCGTATATCGGTCGAAAGGAAGCCAAAGCATTATATATAGAAAGGTCAATATTAGACACTTATATACTTAAGGAGCAAGTAAAGGTGTGCGAGTAAGGTACTATAGCTAATTGTTCGTTTTAGGTCGGGGAAGAAGATAGTCTACGAGTTCCATAAGCGGAAGCGAGGTGTCAATCAGTAAAGAGAGGTTATTGGCCAAAGTCAAAGGCTACTCAATAAGATTATGTTATCAAGTAAGGTTAAGGCAATGTTGTTTGTTTTGTTGTATAAAGAAAAGAATATGAAGAAAGATCAGTAGCAGGTAATATTCCAGAGTTCTATACTATAAGGTGTAGTGGGTAAGCTCGGTTAAGCTGTCAATAAGTCCATTTTCGTCGAGAACACTGATTCCCTTTATTAACCTGAACCGTTTGCTTACTTCCTAAAATCCGCGAATCCTTCTTGCGCAATAAATTGAGGAGCACCCGGTATAAGTAAATACACTGCATCCCTTAATTGAGATGGAGCTTCCACTTAAGGCCAGATATTGATTATTCTCTTATTCCATTCCCTTAACCCAGCATTCATCTATCTTTCTTGCGCCGCTACTTGTTGCTACGCCTAAGCTTGTTCCGTTGTTTGTTTGTTCCGTTCAAATCGAAATAGTTAGGTGCGTGCGGGTGCTTGCCATCCGGCCTTCCCTACTACTAATCTCCACCGCATAGCCAGCAACTCCATCTTTGTTGCAAAGGTCAAAGAGGGACTACGGAGCCACTGAGGAAGTAGCAGAGGCCTCCACCAAAACCTCATTGTGGAAGTATGGATGAGAAATGAATCAATATACAGATTGGAATAAGAGATGGTGGTAGAAACATTGGAATAAGAGATGGTGGGAACGTTCAAGAAAACTGCCAGCTTCATCCCAGTCTGCATTTGCCAAAGCTTTATCACTCAACTAATACTGTTGACCTAAAAACGGTTCGCCATACAGAAATATAGATATGAAAGACTGGTGAGAGGGAAAGAGCGCTCTATAGGTGTATTGGATAGGGAAGGCGAAAAAAGGCCTATATCAGAGTGCTTTAGCGGCTTTCTTTACGCAGGTATTATTCTTGTCTAGGTGCGGGGCAAGAGCTAACCGTCGCCGAGATTCATCGATTTCTGAATCAATCCACTTCTACTCACCTCGACCGAAGTAGGTAGGCAATCCATTTATTAATCAATCCACTTCTCCTCCTGCAGTGCCGAGATTCATCCATTTATTAATCAATCCACTTCTACTACATAGGGAAACGGATAGTCACTCTTATTATCTTTATTGCTTCATCCTCTAGGCACCATTATGATACTTGAGATTCTGTACTTACTATACCCGATAAAGAAGAAGGAATATGTAAGAAGCGGTTTTGTGAGAAGTTAGTATACCAACCCAATCTCGATCAAACAAAGTGGAAGGGGTAAATAGTGTGTTACACATGTCCTAACCCAAAGATCCGCTTTCCTCTGGTCATTGCCTAAGTCAGCTTAGCTTCGACTCAGTCTATTGCTTCAGCAGAGTTATTAGAAAGAGTTACATTCGCTCGCCTTTCCCATAATGACTTGGCTAGAATCCAATCAGGTCCATCAATCAACATCAAATCTGGACTTGAGACCATCAGGTATAAGACTTTAGGCTGAGCGCCAATGCCACTTGGGCCGCAGTTGGAATTGAATGGTACTGTACTTTGGTGTATCAGTAAGTGGGTAATCTGAGTTTCGATTCTTTTAGTGGGAGGTTCAAAACAAAAAAGCATTCCAAAACCCTTCTCTCGAGTTTGAGTATACCCATTACCAGAAAAAGGACGGGACACATCAGGATAGCCGCCCCGCTAAGTAAGCAAAAAGAGCGAAAACTCAAACTGTGCCTTCCTTCTTCTCAATCAATAAGAAATGTCAAACTGTGCCTTCTCTTCTTACTGCTGCTAAAGCCGTTGATTTGAAAGATGGAGTCTATGTACAATGCTTTCGAATCAGATAAAAGGAAGAGTCAGAAGCAATATGTTTCATTAATGGAATTAGTGTGATCTAACTCTCGTGCCCAGCTAGATCGGGTTGCTCTTCATTACTGCTTTGCTTTTGTTTGTTTGCTGGGAAGGGGTTTTATGGATAACAAAGAAGACCTCATGCCGCCCGGTCCTGTTTCTGTTTCTGGTTGGGATCGGAGGAAAGAGAAACTCAAGATGAACCCGCTCAAATGTGCGTTGGGGGCCCCGGGACTGAAGGAAGTAGGTTTTCATGGAATAACCAAACTCGTAAAAGAAAGAGTGAGGCGCGAATGTGAATAGCTCTTTTGGATTCCCCCACTACACGGTTAGGAGGCGGTGATTCCTTTCAGAGTAAAGAAGACATCTTCATATAACGTCTGAAACAAAGGATTCTCAAACCAATCCATCCCGAACTGATCCAAAAGTTATTGCTATTCGGCTCCAGCAGGTTCAAAAGAGAATTACGGAGATTGAAGAGATCGAATTCCTACCGGGACCCCTTGACTCATAGCAAGAAAAAAGTAAGGTGCTGAAAGCCAGTGATACACTGATGGTTCTTTTTGTGCACAGGGACTCTGCCTTTTCCCTCGCCATAATAGTCGCTGCTCTTTGAGAATTCTCATAGCTTTTACAAGAGCCAAACTCCACTTATTAGCTTTGACGGCTCCATGCTGTTTGCGTCGTAAAAAACGGATATCTCCTTTTTCCCAGACAGGAAAGCATAATGAAGTTAAGTAAAGTAAACACACTTATTCAAATAGAAGTTCATTAATCCAGAATATTAGTGTAACATCCTTAGCTTATTTATCGGGGGTATGATCGACACCAGTACAAACTCATAAAGGACCTTCAGCCAGCGCTAAGACCATCACAGGCAAAAACTCACCCTCTATCTTATGTTTTGCTTTGTCTTTATCTCCCAAGATTAGAGGATTCTCCTTCTTTGTACATTAGTGAGGGGATAGATCCGGACAAGCACTGCCACAGGAACAGTGCCAATATGCTATAGGTGTCGGCGATAGAAGAAAGAGGAGTTTCTTAGAAGAAGCCGCTCGACAAGAGGGTTCGATAATAGGGTACTGTCGATGAAGATCCAAAAAGCCTTTATGCATGCATCTCCGTACAAGTGGAGGCCATGGTTTATGATTGAATCTCAAAGTCGAGCACATGTGATAAGAAAGTGCCTCTTTCAAAGGAACGAACAGCTTTCTCATCTAAAACACTTTTCTTCAATGAGCTTCTATCTTATGGGGTTGCATGCCCTCGGCAATGCTTTTTGACTTGACTTTCCCCCGCTTGACTCTTGAGAAAAAGGAGACTGCTATATCACCAACGCAGAAACTGACAAAAGCTAGGGGATTGGCTCCGGGTGTTCCATGCTTCAATTACTAGCTCTGATTCTGGATTTCCTTCCCGGTAGTCTGCATTCTTTCTCCGTCTATTGGCATTGAGTGAAGAGATTCATTCTCAGAGGTTTGTTAGTTCTAGTGATTTGACCCTTCCTGGGCTGCCTATGGAATGTGGATCAATAATCTCCTAATGAACTAAACCCTTCAGGAAGACTATTACTAGCGGGAATAGGAAGAGGACAGGTATTGACTCCAGAGATGCTTCTGATTCAACAATTCCAGCTCTTACTCTAAAAAACACTTGATTATTTGACTTTAATGACTCTCTTCTGGGGCAGGCTCCTCCAATAAGCAGGACTGGTACAAAAAGGACGTATTTCCATTCTTTAGGGAAAAGAAAAAGAAGGTGCGTTGCCGGGCCGAGTACGAAGTGGCCAACTAACAGAAGAGAAACGAGACGACAGACCGGCTCAAAGATGCTTACTATTGAATCTTCTAATGAACTTATTCCCTCCATGAAGACTGATTCGCCCGAAGCTATCCCTAGACTTAAAAGTGTTCGAGTGCCCGCAGAGAACAGCTTCAAATCAAAGCTATGATTCTCATTGATTCTTAGGCTTTATGATTGGATATCTCTTCCATTAATAATCTCCACTTCCACTGGATATCTCTTCCATTAATAATCTCCACTTCCACTTCATAAGATAGGGAAAGAGCTATGAGATAGGGAAAGAAAGAGCTATGAAATAGGGAAAGAAAGAGCTATGAGATAGGGAAAGAGCTATGCATGGGAAATACAGTGTTCAATTCGAAAAGAAGTGCCTATTTCAAAAAGAGGACGGACTTCTTTCGTAGAAGTTATGCTGAACAGGCAAGGGGGCAGGAGACATATCTCTTTAAGAAGGAAGGAAGAACGGAACAGTCTACTAATTCAATATCATAATGGATTCTCTGGATTTCTCTAGAAAATCATAAGTGTTAGGGAAGAGTGGAATTCGATTTCTGGCTTCTGTGCTCTGAACAAGCAAGGATAGCTCGCCCTGTATTGCAGTCTTTCTCTTAAATGGAACCGAAACACTCCGGTCAGAAGATAGAATGAGAGCTTGAAGGAAAGAAAGTAGGTAGCGTAGGTTCTATCCAAACTACTGCCCTGTCATAGCCGAAACTGCGGCTTTCGAACTTGATTATAAATGTGGGATTCCTCTTTTCCCGGCCTTATTAGGCCACTGATTCTAGTTAAGCCAATCTAATCACCTGAACGATGGGGAGAGTTTCTTCACAAACGGATTTCCGCCTTGACCTCGACTGAGGATTCCTTCCAATATCTATCTTTCTTCACTGGCCAAACTCACCCTCTTTCTTGCTTTTGACTGTTTTCCAAAATGAAAGAAATATAGGCAGTGAAAAGTTGGATTGGATTCTCTTAGGTCGATGTTACATGCGGGAAAACTAGGGGTTGTGCCTATGAACTCTTCCTAAGGCTCTGGGTGTTGTGCCTATGAACTCTTCCTAAGGCTATCGATAAGGGATTGATTCTATTCAAAGACTGCTTTCCTTCTTGTCCACGCTTTCTGTTACTTGCCTTAATGAGAGGGCCTTAAGAACTTTTAGCTGACCCATCAAACTGGAATACTGATCTATTCGAATAGCTGGTTTTCCACCCCGTGCAGGCGTCCTAAAACTCTCGGATTATGCCAATCAATAGGTTTCAGTATTTTGATGCCGGAAAGTAGGGAAAAGAAGCATTTGACCACCCGAGCATAAGTTCTCCATCCAAGTAAGGAGTGAGTCATTATAGTTACCATTCTAAGTATTCTAAATACCCGGAACAGGAAAGATGCCCCGAAGATCCACCCGCACACCAGCAGATTGAAAAGTGGCACGCCTTTGAGATATAAGTTGAGAAAATGCCAAACCAAAGAAAGATGATTGAAAAGGTACTGAAAGAGCATCGGTAAGCCTATCAATTAGAAGTAAAGCCGGGCAGGCATAACGCAAGGTAATACTTGGAAAGTCAAATAGAAATAGAAGAGGAATAGAGTTGTTTCAAGTATCATAGAGGAATAGAGCAGTGGAAAGTATCATAGAGGAATAGAGCAGTGGAAAGTATCTAGAGCAGTGGAAAGTCTCATAGAGGAATAGACCGAGTAGTTGAGCAGGCGTGCAAGATGCCTTTGCAGTGTAGCCTAGGTAGAAGCTAAACATAATGGACGGTTTAGCAAGGTCAAGGACATAGGATGGCAAGCTAGCTTTTGATTCCACTATACATCTGATTTCTTCTTTCAGAATTATCTCGTTGCGAAACACTCATTATTCTTTTGGATTCATTTGGGCTTTTGCTCCTATGGTATGAGTCTAAAGTATAAGTCAGTCTTGTTAATGAAAAATAGTATCAATGTGGGGCCCATTCCATTTTGTCGAAAATATGGAACTCACACTAAACGATCCGTGGTACAATGACAGCTGATTAGACTCGTAGGGTAGTTTTCCTAGTTTCAAGAGAAAAGTGGAGTTAGAACATAAGAATAGAACCTAGTTTCAAGAGAAAAGTAGAGTTAGAACATAAGAATCGAAATATGATTGAAATCAGCGTCCGACAACACGATTATACGCATTTCTCCAAAGAGGCTATCGTCCCGCCACCTTTCACTGTCCTGTCGTTTTCCCCATTTTGATAACCAGCATTCTCATTTGTCCTCTTTTTCCAACTAAGAGAGGAGCGCTGGGCTCTGTAAGCGAGCCATTCTTTAGTACATAGTCGCTTGAATGGAAATGCACTACAAAATATAGAAGTAAGTAACTTAACTGCCTATCATCTTTTCGCCTTTCTTGTTGAGCTAGCGTAGCGAGTTCTTTAGCGCTGTAGTATGAGTGGTAAACCCATTTATTGCGTTAGCGAGCTATGCCTTATTACGCTTCTAAAGCGGAGCTCGTTCTCTTGCTTTTGGCCTGAGCCAGATAGTTTCTGGATTTGATGTTTTTGACCTGTAGCAATCAGCTACCTCTATCCAGCGGATCTATGGCTAGGGCAAGCAAAGGAAAGAGACTTCAGCAAAGAAGAAGGAAAGGCTCCAACCGGTAAATAATAAGCGGAAGTAAGCCAGCTCTAAAAAAGCCCTTGTGCGCCATCTTTTTGTTAAGCCAGCCAGCAGGAGCTTCCAAAAGTCTCATAAACCACTGGAGAGTCCGCCGAACCTGTGACAATTGGAGTCAAAGGGTAATCCCTCCCTACTTGATTGGGGTAAGCCTCGCCTGTTGCTGTAAGCTTTTACAGAATTCAACCCATAGAAGAGAAGTCTCAATATATAAGTCAATTCCATTCATAGAATCTAATTTCTAATATAAGTCAATTCCATTCATAGAATCTAATCTATAATATAAGTAAATGAAATGAAGATAAGTAAATGAAATGAAGATAAGTTCATATATAAGGTCCAATTCTATTAGGAGTTTCTAGTAGCAAGCAATAGGATTGTTAGCAAGTTCATTTGAAAGATTTGATGTTCATCTCTTAGCAGTTCTCTTGGGAGGAAAATAACATCTCGTTCTCTTACATCTCTGTAAAGCCTTCGATCGGTTTTGTCTCTCTCTTGG